CTTTGATTATATATAATATGGATTGAGCTAACTGAATATATCTACTAACAAAAATGTTGCTCAAGGTGAATAGACGCAGATGGAAAGCGATAATGTGAAAGTGTAACAAAGATAGATATATTATATGTCAGTACGCTTCTATATCTATCTCACTTCTATCAGTACACCCTTTATATGGCAGTACGCTTCTATGTCTATCTTGGTTCGAACACCTTGCGCAAGCTATCTCTCTCGTTGGCTCAATCCATATTATATTTTACCTAAATCGGTTGGTTATTTATACTGCGCTTCGGTGAGTATGAAAACTAAACATATCCGCTTTCTGCTTTTCCCAATAGATGGCATAACGGTAAATCCATATCAATCGTTGAGATTGAGAACAGGTAAATCCGTAAGTGGTTGGTTTTTACCTAGTTGTCATTTTGACTTCGACGCAAACATGACGTCTGCGGATGATAATGGGCGCGTTCACCAGAGAATTCTGTTTACGTTGGCAAACGCAAACGGGGTACGATTGCGTTGGTGATTTGGTAAACGGCCAATTTTTCTATCGACATATGGTTTGATAACAACAGATGGCGCTTTAATAACATTTATTTACAATTTTAATTAATTTATAGGTACATACCACTTAATTTATCATGAAATTCTTCATTTTCAAAGATAGTATACACTAACCCATTAAATAAATAATTTCGGGCTTCTGCCATTCTTTTTTGTTGATTTTAAATTTAAGATGACACAAACACCAAACACCGTTTGCGATTGCTAACGGAAAAATCATACGATTGATAAAATGGCGGCCGTTTACCAAACACGTTTGAAGTTAGGGTTGCGTTCACCAGAAATGTTGTCAACAGTTTGGTCTCCGTTTGCAAACGTTGACAGTTGGTGAACGCGCCCAGTGATTTTTCCGTTAGCAAACGCAAACGGTGTTTGGTGTTTAATGTCATCTGAACAGTTCTTACAACGGAAGAAGAACAAATTCTCGTTAAATGGGTACACCATATGGCAAAAATTGGATTCCCTGTTACAAAACAGCAATTGTTACAGTCCGTAGGGAATTTAGTAAAACAACTTAATAGGCCTAATACGTTCAAGGATGGAATACTAGGTAGACATTGGTATGAAGCATTTTTGAAGCGTAATCCAGACGTGAGTGTAAGGTCATATCAAGCGCTAACTACAGCACGAGTAAGTGCAACTGAACCAAAAATCCGTGACTGGTTTGGCAAAGTTTATAAATGTTTTGAAGAAATGAGCGCGCTTGATGTATTACAAGATCCATCAAGAATTTTTAATTGCGACGAATCTGCGTCCTTTTTATGTCCGAAAGGTCAAGCAGTACTGGCAAAGAAGGGCCAAAAAAGCGTTTACTGGCGGTCAGGTAATGACGAAAAAGAAAATTTAAAGTTATTACTTGGAGCGTCAGCTGTCGGGAAAATAATGCCAATATTAGCCCTCTTTCCGTATAAACGAATTCCATCAAACGTTCTACAAAAATATCCTAAATCGTGGGTTATTGGTCGTTCTGACAATGGATGGATGACGTGCGAGATATTTTACGAATATATTACCAACTCTTTTAATGGTTTCTTAATAAAAGAAAATATTAAAAGACCCGTAGTGCTCTTCCTCGATGGACACGTTTCACATCTTTCCCTGCCTTTGACTACATTTTGTAAAGAAAACGGAATAATTCTTGTCGCCCTTTTACCTAACGCAACTCATATTCTTCAACCAATGGACGTAGCGGTTTTCCATGCGTTAAAGAACTCATGGCGACAACGTGTTCACGATTGGCGTATGACCAATAACGCACAAAAAATGAAGAGAGAAAATTTCGGACCAATTTTGGAAGAATGTATTAAGAAAACGTTAAAACCTGAAATATTCATAAACGGATTTCGCAGCACTGGATTACATCCTTTTGATGTAAATGCCATCAATTTCAACAAGCTGCTAAAATCAACTCAATCCAGTGCTCCGGGTACTGCAATTGCCCAAATTAACGAAAAATTAATGCTTAATAATTCAACTTCTAATATCTCAGAGTTATCATCTAATGTAAACAAAAATTCTCCTCGTCCACTCAAATCGGAACAATTTATTGCCGAAGTCGAAAAACTTCTAGGCGTAGAAAAATTAAACCAATTTAAAGAATGCGATGGAATTTGGCAAGGAGATATTAAAGACGAAAACTTGTTTTATATTTGGAAAAAAGTTATAAGTTGCGGTAATAGTAACACATATCGTGAACTGGACAGAGATGAGTCCACTTTGATAGCAAACGATTGCAGCCTACTAGATATGAATTTCAATTGGTATGATGAAGATGTCTTAGACGGTATTATAGAGAGCGATGGAACTATAACAGTAACACAACTCCCAACTCCATGTCCTTTAACCCGTGAAAGTTCTATNGAAATAAATAGTAAAAAGTTCCAAACAAAAAACTTTAAACGCGAATAACTCAAAATTGTTCCCGTGTTACATAGCACCTTCATCCACTCGCGTCTTCAATTGTTATTTTCCTTC